GCAGAACCTGGCATGCGCCCCTAAACTTTCAACTGACCCTAAACCCCGAAACTTCCTAAACCCTTCGTGCAGGAGCTGCCAAAGGACTTTCGGCTGGAGGCGCAGTCCGCGAGCTACTCTTTTAAGTCTTCAGAAAACAGCCGGCCTACTTGCTTCTATCAACTGCAGATACAGGAGATGTCTGTATTTCTGAGTTTCAGAGCTTATCCAGGACTTCAAAGACGTTTCTCCAAGTACTGAGTATTTTGCGGGGTCTACACGTCATCAGGTTGTTTGTTAGTTTTATTCTGCTATTCTTTCAGGCTTGCCGCTTACGAGTTGGGTGCCCGCCCTGCCAAAGATCGTATTTAGGAGGGTGTCTTTTCGGGTTTAGGGCATTCTAGGGCATGTGCACCGCAGCACCTCCTCAAAAAAGTGTGCAGTGATTGCAGAGATTCTTCCAGTTTCTTGGCTCGCTACCGCTTGGAACCTCAGTCAGCAGAACTGCGCTTCAGAGCGTGGGCGGACTCGCTGGCTGACACCAAGAGCCCAGCTGCAAAAGGGGTTTAGAATTCTGCCGGCTGCCAGATCTCCGTGTGGTGTTCTTGTCAACGGCCAGGTGCGTGACAAAGTACCACTAGCCGTGCCAGCAAGTCTTGCCTCCCGGCATGGTCCTACTGCTCGCGATAAGGCTTCTTGTAAGGGTTTCTGTAAGGGTCGCTATATGAAGACGAAATCGGAGGCTAGTCTGCTGTCACTTCTGATCCTTTCCCATACTCACTTTGTCTTCACGAGTCAGCATATGGAACTCGACTGAGGCACGAAGGCATTCAGAGTGGGCTTGCAGACAGCGGAATCCATGTGGGAGTTTCCGAAATTAGGGTACCTTATCTGGGGGTCCTTATATTAAGAATCATACTATTTAGGGTACTATATTAGGGTCCCCTATTTTCGGAAACCCTCATGTAGCCAAGCCCGCAACCCTCCAAAGCAAAGCAACAAAGATCCAACACCAAGCAAGGAGCTTCGATCCCTACCTGGGTGTTTTTTTCAAAATTATGGTCCCTTTTTAGGGATCCTCTAAGGGTTCCTATAAGGGGTCTATAGGGTTTAGGATTTAGGGAGGTTTGTCATATGGGTGCTTGTCAAAATTACGGTCCCTTTGTGGGGTCCCTATTATAATACGGCACCCAATATTTAAGGTACCCCAAAAAAGGATCCTAATCTTGAGAACTACCCATCTGGACTCTGCTGTGCTGGGTTTGGTGGGATTTATACCATAAAGAAGATTATATAGGTGTAAAGTATAAACTAGAAAGTACTAAGAAGATAATGACCTAGATATAAGCTTAAGTATATAAACCTCTCAAGCCTAAAGTCTAAAGCGCCCAGAAGCGCGCAGCAAAGGACGATTCTCAGATTCTCAAGCCTGTACCATGCAACTTGAAGCTCCTATGGCAATATAGGGGCCTCAAAAATTACCAATACTATTTTGAGGGTTCCTTACTATACTTATAGTAAAATGGCCCCTATAGTAGCCCTTCTAGACCCCTTTAAAGGAAGCCTAGTCTAATCATTAAGGCCCCTATATTATATACCCTTCTACCGAGTCAGGCAGGTCAAGCTGGCCAGATCGAGCTGACGGAGAGCAACCTTATGAAGGATCAGGACCGCACTGGTTCAGGGTTTAGGGTTCAGGGTTGAATACCATGAGTCTATCTGCATTACTGCCTATCTATCTGTCTATCTACCTATCTGACGATCTATATACTAATTGTGTATCCATCTGCCACTGTATATGTATCACTCTCTATCGCTCTCTCTGCCTATCTACCTATCTATATGTCCGCCTATGTACCCAACTAGCACTCTTTTAGAGACGGGTATACTAGTATGAGTTGCGCGTACATACCTTTACATGTATCTGTTAATAATTAGTATACATGCATGCACATATTCATATGCGTCAACATGTATGTATACATATATATATATATACACACATATGAATACATATATATATATATATATATATACATATCGATGTACTTTTGTATAGATGTGTGGTTACATAGCACGTGAGTGAGTGCACGAGTGAGTCAGTGACTGAGCCTGTGCCAGGAGACCTACACCCCTTGCTCCAAACCTCGATCTTCGCCAACGTCTACGGCAGCCTCAGAGAGTGTCCTGGCCAGGTCTAACGCACCTACTAGAGGGGCCAAACTACTTTGTAGTAGTACCCCACTACAGGCGGAACCCCCCAAAACAGCTTTGGCTAGGGCGCAGAGGCAAGATGAACCTTCGTCAAACGGTACACACACACACACACGCATATCCTTTCATTGCTCAGGATCGCACTCAACGCGTAGACACATGCTCTGCTTCAAGGGTTTGGGTTTTGGCTTCGTTTTCTGCTTATTGTGGCCATGAATGACAACACAGGTCCGTACCCTCGATCGAATCAAAGCTTCTAGGTAGTGGTGTGCCTCACCAATTGCATCCCGTTGCAATGCGTTCACTGTTTGTCTTGTGCACCGTGCGCATGGTGCAAAGACTGCATGAGATACCTTTGAGCACATACTTGTCTGATAATGCCAAAGCAATACATGCCAAATTCCTTTGCAGCTTCAGGCATGTCATCGCACATATTGGCCGGCATATTCATGCAACAGAGGTTGTGAACAAATGGAGTCTTGCGAGTTTTGAAACATGACGGGCATTATCCAACTTCTAACGAGAGTTTTCGTCGGCTTCGCGGCAGGTGCAAAGACGTAAAACTGAGCAAGCGTTTATGTTGGTTTCATGATGGTGGTGGTGGTGGTGGTGGTGGTGGTGGCGGCGGCGGCGGCGGTGGTGGTGGTGGCGGTGGTGGCGGTGGCAGCAGCAGCAGCAGCAGTAGCAGCAGGAAGCGTGAAACTTTGCGTCGACGATCGTTCGGTGATGATGGTGATGATGCTGCTGCTGATGATGGTGATGGAAGTGGTGACTACATTTGCGATGGTGCTGATTATCGAGGAGCAGGACGAGGACGAGGACAAGGAGGGCGATGATGACGGTGATTCATGGTGGACGAGGTCAAGACTTTGATGATAATGTTGGATTTTTAAGGTGAGGGTCAGAATCAGGCCGAGGAGAAGGACAAGAGCAGGATCAACAGGAGCACGATACGGCGAGGTTGCCTCAAGATGCCACGGTGCCGAAGCTGTAAGTTCCCACGAAGCCCTGAGCCTTAAATTTTCCCTGAGGTGACCTGCCGCATTCGGCGAGACTACCTCGAATCTCTGAGGCGAAGCGTGTTCTCCAGCAAGAGGGCGAGTCCTCACCCGAATCTTCGAGAAGCACTCAATAGTGGATTTTGCGATGTTTGATCAGCCATAGCCGAGGTGGCAAGGAAAAATGCAATTGAGATCTAATCGCTAAGGTATGCCTTAATCGTCCGCGTTCCAATGGGTGTTTCCCGCACGGTTTGTGTCCGCAGAATGGCAAATTGCTGCATGAGCAGCTTGGGCTGTTTGTGCATAGCTAGGGCAGGCATCTTTCTACCGTCTTTGTCTTAAATCCCCTTTTACTTGCTGCAGAGACTGTTCTTTGTCTGGATAAGGAGGTGAACAAATTCTTGACAAGTCTGCTGGTCATCTGCGGACATGTGTTACACGTTTTCCTTCCCAGTGCGCCATCGAAAGCAACCGCGTGAAAGCCCGTGGAACGCTTGAAGGTGGCCGTAGCTCTTGTTGAGAAGCTTGAGGAGCAAGCGGAGCCTGCTTCCCAGAGACCGGGCCTCCCTCTGCAACGGTCGTGTGGCAGAACGGCCTGAGCCGGCTCTTTGGCGGGTGTGAAATTTTTATGTAGGTCGTGGAAAGGTATGGTGATGCCAGATCTGCAACATCACCAACAGCACCGGCCAGAATTTGCACCTAAGCCCTCACACCTGTCAACCCGAATCTCCCGCCCTCGCCCGAGATCCGGATGTTGTCACGGTGAAGTGTTTGCCTTCGCCCGTCTTAGTCTCGGTGCCAGGGTCGCGGTGGCTTCGCCTCTTAGTTGTGCCTACCATATGCCTCGCCTAAACCCTTGCAAAGATTAGGACGAAGAGTGCCCGACCAAGAATCCGTTGCAGGCTTGGTCAACGGCACTGAGATTTTAGTTGCATGCACTTCTCCGACTCGCGATGCCGCTAGCCATGCGGGCCATATTGAAGATATCCTGTGCATCTTGTAATCTGCATGCTTGCGGTCAACAGCGCAATGCGAACACTGTGGGATGAGAGACATTGGATATACCAGCTGGACCCTTTTCACAGTCTTACAGCGTATTGTCGTTCTGTAAGCGGACGTGAAGAAATTGGGTTCCTTGGGTCTTTGGGGTTGGCTGTTGGGGTCCACGATGCTCCATCTCGGCCCCACTGTGTGGTGAGTTCCGTATGGTCGCAGCCCAGGAGCTCGTCCATCGTACATTATAGTATATCAATGTATACTATGGTATATTACCGTATGAAATAGTAGAGTATATCATTGTATACGATGGTATATGTTAGTAGATCATAGTTCAGTATGGTATATATATATATATATATAATATATATATATATATATATATATAGGGGTATACAATAGTATAGTATTGTATCGCAAGTGAAAGGAACCCTAAACACGAAGCCAGATGTATGAGTTCGCGAGAAGCCATGCAACATTTGGTTTTGCAGACTTGGCGGGCAGAGCTGGCAAAAGTGGTAGGGTCTCAGGACGTTTCAGGTGATGCAGTAAACTCCGAGAATTTAGAACATGAGTCGAAAAGGATAGATGCGGGAGCCCTCAATACCTTCATCTGTCATCATCTGCAGCATGATGATGTTCTGCCTGTCCGGCTTCTATTGCAGGAGCTTGGAACTAGGAGGTTTTCGCGCGTTCACGACATCTTAACATCTTCACGAACCCAGGAGGCAGCGATTGTTCCTGTAGGCTGCACATAACTTCAGTGAGCAGAATTGCATCGGCTGGTGCTTCGGAGACGCACTGCGACAGGTCTACGCAGATCCGGCCAATTCCAACTTCGTGGACATGGATATTGTCAAGGGCTTCTTCAAGGATCGTTCTCAAATTGGAGTCTGCTGGAGACCCTCTAGGATCGTAGCGGATAGGAGGCCAGTCGGTGTTTCCCAAGGCGTGTGCGCGTACTTATAAGGCGACAACTGATTACCACCTGCCGCCGATTGACAGTTGTTCCCATCAAATAGACCAAACTCGGGGCGGCCATCGTGTGTCAGTGTCAGGAGCTGGGATATGGCGAGATCTCAGATGAGGCACCCATCTTGTCCAGCTGTTGTTCTCTTTGTATAGGATTCCACCTCCGAAACTGCAGCTCATTGACGGGCTGCGGGGTCGGAGACTAGTTTTCGAAGCCCTGGCTGGAATCACCTGGCAGCAAGTCGCATTGCAGGATGCGAAGATCATCTTAGAAACCGCGGATGCAGACAAGGACCAGAGGTCAGTGCCTCAAGAAGCCTAAACCCCAAACCCTGGGAGGGAAAAAAGTTTAACCTGAAGAAACCTTTGCTGGCAATTGGAGGCCGCATCGAAAATGTAGGTTCAATCTAATTCTGAAGACGTTTGGGCACATCCTTCATGGCTCGATCTAGTAATCCCAATCACAAGGCGTAGCTGGCAAAATGTAACCTATAAAAGGTCAGCTACGACCTGATAAGATCACGGTGGGCACCTCCCTTTCCCTTCTGCTGGTCTGCTACCTGTAGCTGTTGCGCAGGTTAGTATGTCCTTCGCCACTTAGGATTGGTATCGACGATTTTCGGATGATGGTACCATTCGGCCAGCCGGCCCACGACGCGTCCTGGGCTAAGTATGGGATCCGTCCTGGCTTGTGGAACGCCACGAGATGTACCGCAACCCTAAACTCGGAGTGCAAGAAAAATGTGATTGGTTGCTGGCATTACGAACATGGCGGTTAGGAGAGCAAGGTCATGCGTAGGAACCACTACAGTCTTCAGAAAACGAAACACACGCCTCCTAAGCCGCAAACCTTAACGGTCCTAGAAAAGTTTACGCGAAGCTGGGTCCTGTAATGTTAACACGTTGACCTCTTTGGCGCACTCTTGTCGATCGCCTCATCCCCGAGCAAGAGCAGGATCATAAGCCCTGGCAAGCAACCTGATAGCACAAACACCTGATCAAGGAGCCTGAAAAACTAGAAATGGTGCACTATTCCTGAGAGTTTCCTTTCTGTGAATACGCATACAGACATACAGGCAGACATACAGACATACATACACACATAGATACATATACGCACGCATGGATGGGTGGTTGGATGGATGAATCGATGGATGGATGTAGGTACATATGCGTGTACGTTGGAGGGTGTGTATGTATGTACGTATGTATGTGCGTACTATGACATACCGCTCCAAGCCTGTTTTCAGAGACCTACACCTTAACGCTTTCTCATGGACGGGACCAGTGTGACAGCATACGCTCTCCTGAACCTTAGGCCACAAATCCTGAAACCCAACGTCGGAAGCTTTGGCTCATGGCCAGGGCTGCTTCGTCTACGGACTGAGATTGGCGTCACCAAGCAGGCTGACGTCGGTCACGACCTTGCATGCATCGGCAGTAGGAGCAAGAAATGGTGTCAAGCTTAGGGCAGTTAAGACGACACTTTGTGTAGCAGTTGAGCTGTGAGAGTGAGACTTTCGGTAAGAAGAAGGGTCGTGTGTAGCGAGCAAGTTGGCTTTCTACGATGGGCAAAGTCACAGGCCGGTCAGACAATTTCAGCCAGAAGCAACAGCAAGACTATTCAACATCATACTCAAACATACGAAGGACTAAAGCACTGCTAAACGTACTGGTGTTTGTGGACTAGAACCGTCATATCAATGGCTCGTAGTGCTATATGATCAGCCGAAGCGATTAGAATCATGCCTGCGGCAGTTTCAGCTTGGGGTGCTGAATTCCTTGGTTCTCTTTTCTGCACCTAGTAGCAGTCGTCGTAGTGGCAGAAATAGCCGCAGCGGGCAGTGGTAGTACCGGGAGCAGTTGTTGTTGTCGCAGCAGCAGGAGGAGTAGTAGTCGCAGTAGTGGTAGTAGTAGTAGTAGTAGTAGTAGTAGTAGTAGTAGTAGTAGTAGTAGTAGCCGGCGTCGTAATAAACAGCTAGTAGTGAGTTTAATACTGACATGGGAAAGCGACGCAGCGGCACAGCGAAAGTGGTTGGACAAGATTGGGATAGTCTTAGCATTGCGTTCAAGGGTGATGCTCAACTACACGTGCCAACAGAGAGTTGAAGAAATCTACAAACTGGTGACAATCAGCCAACTAGCAGCACCTGCGGCCTCATGCTGCATTGACGAGGTGGCCGGGCGCAGCCAGCACAGTGTCACCCCGAAGCTGAAAGCTCGGTCAGAATGTAGTTCGTGGGTACGGTCGTCTCAACATTCTCAACAATGCATTGGCAGCCTGGCTTTTTTCATAAGCAAAATGTGGTGCTTGTTACCAAGGGCAGTGCTAAGTTCGGTCGGCCATGGCTCGGACAAAGTTGCTGAACGCAGATTGGGCGACTGTGCCTGAAGGACCTAGCTGCGATCCACATGACACTTGTGTGCTCTGCTGAAGCCAACTAGGCACCAAGCGGAGGAACTGATTGCATTGGTAAAAACATTTGTTCTTTGAAGTTCTTTGTCTTCCTTTGTGAAGGAGCTCTCGTGGGGTGGGGGGACTAAGGCTGACTCAGGAGGATTGTGCCTGGCACTTCTCACTGGCTCGTAGAAGTTCTGCATCAGAGAAAGATATCTCAGTTTCACAGATGTCATAAGCGACACCTCCTGCCCTTTCTCGTTGCAAGCAAAAACAAGAACCAACAACGGCCTCAAGCATTACCACCAAAAAAACACCAGAAGCAGCAGTAGCAGCAGCGCGAGCCTTATACGATTTTCTGCCGGCTACCGCATAATTGCGATTCAGGGAATTGTTTGGCAGCCATTTTTTGCACCTGGAAACATGGGAGGGTTATGTAGGGTTTGCAGAGCACTTGCAGCCGACCAGGGCCCGACATTGTGCAAACACGTTCTGTAAAGATTTCGCAAAGTGTTGGCAAAATTGCTACAGAAAACCATGGTCTGTTTGCTGATGTATTGCAATAATGGCCTTGGACCCTACGCCCGCCATGTTGCCGAAGTGTTCGCAATAAGTTTGCAAAAGCACAGCGTGTTTTGCAATTATGTTGGGAAGCCGAAGTTGAACACCCCAATCCCCTGAGCACCTGCTTGTTCTGCGGCCAAGATTGCGAAAGTCAAGGGCCAATGTAACAAGCTTCATCGAAAGGCAACACCAAGCTGGTTGCAACGTATGCACAAAGCTCGTTTGGGCATTGGTTAAGGTCGCAAGTTCAAACCCCCAAACATGCACAACATTTTTGCAGTGGTGCGACGACGACGATGGCATTTGTGACGATTCAGTTGAAAGCTTGGTCTCCGGCAACACCCCACATGTGAAGAGATGAATTGAAATCTCCGATGCTCAACATGCAAGCCGAAAGCCCAAAGAGCGTCGTCAGCGTTCTCTACGAAGTCTAAGTCAGCTGACTGAACTCATCTCCTGGATGCTATCCGAGAAGCATGTACGCAAAGGGAAGGATAACCATTCCTAGGATCTGTAATGGTCGTCTGTCTCGCGCACCACAAAGTCCTGTGTATGCCGATACCCGCATCTGCCCGCCCAATCTGCTGTAGCTATTATGAGCACTCAGCCCAGAAAACATCAGTCGGACATGGAATGCCAATAGTAAGGGAGCGAAGACCCACCATCATCAGCAGTGCAAGGACCTCTTGCATCCAGTGCTGCAAACAAGCTCACTTATTGAACCACTTGTTGCATGTGGATAGTTAGCAACCTTGCCGGGAACGATGCCGGAAACGTTGAAGCTGGAGCTGCCCCTGGGTGATGCGATTGGCGAAGGCAGGGAGGCACATCACAAACAACCCACACTTCCAAGTGAACACGAACTGGATTGTTAGCATCCTGGCTGTTAGCATGTTGCAGCGGCAGTAGCAGCTCAGCAGCAGTGAGTAGCAACAAGCAGCCGCAGCAGCAGCAGTGGGAAGAGCAGCAGTTCTCATCCTCATCACATGTCAGCGGTATTGGAATGTGTGCTGCGTTCAGCCTTGTTGTATCAGGTTGCTGGTAGGCACCGGTTGTTACTGGGAGAATTACAAACACAATTGTTATTCTGCCGTAAATGTAAATCTGTTTTCTGGAGCCAAAAGTTGAACATTTGCCTTGCCAGTGACCGGAACCCCATTATCAAGCCGCTACAGCACAAATCCGAAATGCGCCGAAGGCCCACACTCCGGGCCTCAATTCACTTTCAGGTACCTCTGGAGTGGTCTCGCCGGTGCTACATAGCGCCGACGGCGGTCGCGACGAAGCAGCAGCGCATGTTTCGGGTACACGATAAGGGTCTATGGACCGGTAGACAAGACAGGCTTGGGTGGACTTGTCTGTATGCTCCGAAATGACTCGGAGTAGAACCTTGGTAACTAATTACACTCGTGGTGGCAATGGGCTCTGCGAAAACCACAAATTCCCTGTCTCACTTGGACCTCTCCAGCCATAGATTCGCTTGCTCCTCGTCTCGTGGACTACAGGTGGTTGCCAAAGAAATCTTATCATGTGATCCAGGGCCACGCCCGATCCTCACATAGAATTTAGGGTCTAGGGGTGGTATGCAAACACCACGTGTATAGATGTGTGTGTGTGTGTGTGTGTGTCTGTGTGTGTAGAGAGAGAGAGAGAGAGAGAGAGAGAGAGAGAGAGAGAGAGAGAGAGAGAGAGAGAGAGAGCCTCAAGCCCCTAGCAAAGCAAAGCAAAGAGAGAGAGAGAGAGAGAGAGAGAGAGAGAGAGAGAGAGAGAGAGAGAGAGAGAGAGAGAGAGAGAGAGAGAGAGAGAGAGAGAGAGAGAGGGCGACAGAGAGAGAGAGAGAGAGATAAAAAGCGGACACAGCCCTATTGCAAGAAGCCTTAGCCGCTGGCCTTGGATTCAATCCGCAGAGCCTAGCGAAGCTTCCGGTCAGCCCCAGCATAGACATGGCGGCATTCACATGGCGTTTTGTCAGGATCTGCCAGACAGGCGACTTCAGAATGAGGCGGATTGTCGACTAGATTCCATGTCATGTCATGAAGCCTAAGTTGAGCCTTCGAAGACACGCGACACCTGCTTGCCCAAGGCTACGCAGCAAAGCGGCTGAAGTGCACTTCGCCGAAGGAGGTACCCAGACTGTAGTTGTGTCGCACTGGTGACAACAGATCAAGGTGCCGAGCCTGAACAGCTGAAAGGGAACTCAAATTTAGTCGCAAAAGAACCTGCTTTCTCTGTTCCCAGCAAGAGGCCGCGTCTAGATTCGCAATGAAGCAATGGCAGGCAACTTGGGCTGGCCCGCACCCATTCCTTCCCCAAACGGTGCAGCAACATTTAAAGCCCACCGTTCCACCGTACGGAGGCAGGTCGCGCATCCAGTCCCGCCATGCAGCTACTTGCGTCCCCAACCATCATGCACATCGGAGAGTTTGAGCGTGGAAGATCTGAAGCCACATGGCACAAACGGACGATCGGAGCTTCCACGATGAAGTGTCTCCATCTGTGGCGGCACTCCAAGCAAACACAACCGAATTGCTGAGACTTTTAGGGCTGATGAGGGATGCATGCAGTCATTGCACAGATCAGGTATTCCATCACCACGCAGCACCAATCTGATCAAATTCTTTTGTGCTGACGAAAAGCAAGCACGTCTACTGGGTCACCGCCGATCACTTAGGCAGCTTGGGCATCCCGACACAAGAGCTGTTGGTTTCACAGAGTGGTGAGACGCAGAAAGTATTAAGCAGGAAGCTGCAAAAGTGTGCAGAAAGTGGGGGCGGGCACTACAACACACACCCGTTTGACACAAGGAGAATCGGTTGCAGTTTTCGTAGTCTGGAGAGTGCCGCAGTAGCGCAACAAGTGTCACACTATGGTGCTGCCCCTGTGATGGGGCATCCATATACGTGCCAAATTCAAAGTTTCCTGCAAATGACAGCTTCACCAGAACTGAATCCTGCAAACAATAACCTGGATCAGTCTGGAACATCATGCAGGCATTGGACCTGGAAGTCCGCCTCCTGAGGCTTTGCTCCGCCGAGGCTGTGAAAGCTGGGAATTTGTGTCGATAATACCTGATAGCATCTTATGGTATGTAGAATGCTTCAGTAGACTATAGTATCATCGTATAGTTTGTGTGTACGTGCGATTTCGTGCGTCTGGAAATTGGGCAGCTTAAGACTTGTGCTGCATTTCTAGGCCAATGCGAAAATGCGGTGTTGTTCAATCTATTTGTTTCTGAGAAGCCAAGCCAGTCACACCAGTCCGAGGCAATGCCGCTGAATTTGTCTTCTGAAATCAGATATGATTAAATGTAGAACCATAAAGCAGCTTTCGAAAAGTTCGGCTAGGTGCAAGAGGTTCTTCAAAACAAACCCATAAATCCATACAGCAACTAGACTTACCCTAAACCCTATTTTGGCCCTAAAGCC